CCCCTCTAGACTTTGTATCTCACCTCTTAGGGACCACCAATGAGATAGCCTTAGCCTAGAATAGGTTATTAGCAAGTGTCAGAGACGACCCATTGTAAGAACATGAATGTTGAGTTGATAAATTATGCAGCCGAAGAGTGAAGGTAAGTAACATGATGCGTGATTTGTTATGATATTGTTGGTATTATTTGATGTTCTTATGTGACACTACTTGTGCATGGAATCCTATGAACGATTATGTATGTTGAATTAATCTTATGTGTGATTTCTACTATTATATTAGAACCTCTTAATCGGAGTGAAAGCTAAGCGTGTAGTTTGTTTTACTTGCTACACGTAGGTAACAAGAATGACGAATAAGGAAACAATCTTAGAGGGCAGCGAGGATGAAGAGATGGATGAATGCTGGCTGAAGAGTTTACTTAATTAAATATTTAAGTATGAATTTAGTATATTTTTTTGAGCAAGAAACAAAAGTTGTGTTTTGAATTAAGTACTTAAGCTTCCACATTGTTTTGTTAACTTCGATGGATATTTAAATATTTTTTTGAATTGAATGTTTTAAATGTTTTGAAAGTTATTGTGTTTGGGTGCCAATGTAGCGACAACCCAATCCTCTAGTCTGCGTATTCAAGTTACGCGAGTTTGAGTCTTACATATGATCTGAATAATACTTATATTAGTTTGATTCCGCTTGAATTACAATAAAGGTTTAATCCTCTATTTATAGTCTACTTTTGCTACGTACATGATATGTAAGTCGTATGCTATGTTAGCAACATGATTGGTCAGACGTGCATACCCACGACCAATGGGATTGGCACTCCACTTCTATTTCCAGTTCGGGGCCCAGACCTACAAATGGCGCACGCTTCCTTTGGCCCTGTTAGCATGCTGACTCAGCCTTGATAGGAATTTGGCCCTTTCATTGTATTGGGCTCCAAACAACACCTACCCATTCTACTCACTCGGCCCGATACCCATCAAATGAATTAATTTATAATTGATGGTATAAATTAGGATCGAGCTCACTATTCTAAAGTGAGTCTTGGATATGGAGCTAAGTCATGGGACTAACTACGAAGTAAAAATGCTCCAAAGAGTAGTGCTTCATGATAGAGTTTTTATTTTTTTTAAAGAGCTCAATTTATCCATAGGGTAGGTGGGAGCACACGTAGCTTAATTATTATTTATAGGGGGAAACGACTGAACTGGAAGTAAAACATAGAGAATGTATTAAAATAGAAGACAAAATCACTCCAAATAGGTGTAAAACATAAGTTTAATATTTTTATTCCAAAATAGAAATTTGCACTATGACATTATGACACTGTATAATGACATCCTACAGTATTTTTTGGTACTATATATTGGTATTATTGACATTGTAACTCCTGTTTTAATTTGAGGATACAAAACACGATGCTTCTATTTTGATACTTTAATTTTTCAATATTTTGTTCCTTTTTAGTCATTTTCTTATCTGTCAATATATAGTACCAAAAATGCAGTGAGATGTTAGCATACAATGTCATAATGTCACTGTGCAAACATTTACTTTAAAATAATATGAAAATCTTATTTGAAAGATAATTATTACTCCATCTGTCCCAAATTAAATTGTCTCTTTACTATTTATAACGTCAAACTTCATTCACTTTCTTTATCTTTTTTGTTAGTCATTTGATAAAATAATATAATAATATAGTCATGTCACCACTAGTTTTGTAGATCTTTTGATTTAGTTTTTAATTATGTAAACTTTATTTTTTAATTCGACAACATATTTCATATAAAATTATTTAAAAATAACTTTAGTCAAACATCGTAAACCGAAAAAAACGATTTAAATTAAGACAGAGAGAGTATGTTTTACTCATATTTGTGATAATTTCTTTTTTTAAAAAGAATATTTTCAAAATTAATAAGTTATACTTAGGGTCTGTTCTTTATAGCTTTTATCTTAACTTCTAGTTTTTTCCAGTTCCTTCTAGTTCTTTCCAGTTCCTTCCAGTTCTTCCAGTTCCTTCCAGTTTCTTCCAGTTTTTTCCAGTTTCTTCTAATTTCTTCCAACTATATTTATTTTCTTCAAATTCTTTCCACTTTCTGAAAAATTACTCTAAAAAAATATATTATTATTATTATTATTACAACTTTTTTTAATTATAACTTTTATGTTCATAGCTATAGTTTATAAATAATTTCATTTTTTCATCTCACTATTTTTATGATTCACATTCATTCTTCTAGTTTCTTCAACTTTTTAATATGAATAATACCGTTTTTTGTATATTAATCTACATGAAAAATTAGGAAACTATTTAAAAAATTATGGATAAATAGTCATATAGAATATTTTTTTAATCTAAATTTATATAAGGTAAACTACATTTAAGGGCCTGGAAGAATAATATTATGAAAACCAAGAGAAAACTACATTTTGAAAAAAAATGACCCAAGAAGTGTAATATTTATGCTAATTTTATATTCTAATTATTTTTTTAAACTAGCTTTTTATATATGAAAAATAATACTCGTAATATTTTTTTATCTTAAAGACAATCATTAAGATAACGTGATAACACCACCACTACCACCACCACCACCACCAACAACAACAACAACAACAACAAGAATAATAATAATAATAATAATAATAATAATAATAATAATAATAATAATAATATATAACAACAAGAATCAGAATGAGAATAATATAAAACCACACATAAATTTTTTTTAAAAAAAGTTTTTTAAGATTTTTCAATTTTTTCTAGTTTTTTCGGTTTCTTTTAATTTTTTTCAGTTTTTCCAATTTCTTCCAGTTTCTTCCAGTTCTTCCAGTTTCTTCCAGTTTCTTTCAACATCCAGCTCTTTTTTTCCAGTCCTAAAGAAGAGGTCCTTAGTATATAAAATGCTAAAACAATTTCCAAAGCAAGCAGCCCCAAGTCAGCAATTCATTTAAGCTGCGTTCCGCGTACATTGCCTGCCGTTGTCTACTTGAAGTTGTAATACCTTAACCCTAACTCCCTAAGCTTAGTGCCACTCTAATTTGCACTCGATTCCTGTCTTCTCAACACCATCATAGTTTCAGGTGCTCTTGGTTAGGAGTCGCTGATTCGTCACCAAAACTTTTTTTTGTTTTTGTTTTTGAATCGCTCCGATAAACCTTGTATGCGCTTTTGTAATTGTGTTCTTGTCTGCTTTTTCCTGTCTGGATTTGTTCCGTTTTTCAACTCTGTATTACTCTCTTCTTTACTGAAGCATAGGTTTTTGAATTGTGCCTTTAAAACATACGAATTTATTTACCTTTTCATTAGCTCGACATAAGTTCCTTGTCTGAAGGCAAATTGCCCTTTCCTTGTACAATCGCGTAACTAAACTAGAATTTTGTTTTGGGAAGATTTTTTGCATTCGTATTCAAAAGAGTTCTGGAGGATTTCAGTTTTCTAAAACCTAGATTTAATTTTGCTCCATTGTTTGATCAATATAGATACTGTGTATGTATTTATTAACCCTTTTTTTTTGTCTCAGATGGAAGCAGAACCGTTAACGACTGAGGCAATTGCTCTCACAGAGAAAAAAATGGACATGACGCTTGGTAGCATATTTTGCTTATTTGCAGTTCTGAATCTCTTTCCAGCTTCATTTTTCCCATTATCTTTACTTCTTCCTTATATTCTGATGTTCACAGATGATATCATCAAAATGTCGAAAAATGATTCATATAAAGTTAAGAATGGGAAGCAAAGAGTGTCAGTAAGTATATCCACATGTTTATACAATCCAGTCATTTACGGAAGCTCTTTTTCTCTTTAAATGCGATTTTTTAGGTGCAATTGTTTGTATGTATGCAGAATAAAAGCCATAAGTTTTATAATAATGGTGCTCACGATAAGTCTGACAAGTTCAAGAGGTTTATGGAAACAAAATCATCTCTTAGACAGGTACGCTAGTTAAAGGGGGTAGCCTGTGTCCTTGCTTATGTAAATAATAGGGTGTTAATGTGAATCTTCATCTTTTTCTTTTTTTAACCATGTTGATTTTGTTTTTAAATGATTGCTGTTTAGGGAAATCTTGCCAAAAGGAGATCGAGTATTCATGACAACCAATTCCCATGGATAACTCAGGCAGCCAGAAGGGCTGCAGTTGCTCCTATTCGCAGTAGAGGCTTCAATCGAAGCAGGTCAGTGACTATGAATGTTCGGGAAAAGTTATACTTTAGATGGAGCATTAACGTTGAACAATATGTCAGCCTATCAGCATACTGTAGTCTCTAATGAGAGTTGTTAACTCACCAATTCCTTAAAGTGCTATTCCTGTGTTTCACAGGTAATATATTGCTCTTATTTGTTGACGGCCTTGACATACGTTTCTCCTTTTTACGTATTGTAAATGCATGCCATCACAGGAACTCCACATTGGCATGGGTGCATAGCATCCCGAAGTGTAAATATGCTTTTAGACATATATTGGAGTAACACTATCATGACTGGATTTGGATCCCAACAAACCACAATAACAACCCAGTATAATCCCAACTCTGTTGGGGTGTGGGGGTCAAGATTTGCAGTGTTACCCCTGTAAAAACAGAAAGGCTGTTTCCGTTTGGCCCTAGCTGCATTGCTGCATTACTGCCCAAAACTTTACAGAAAGTAAGAAGCATGTGAAGTTTAAGCTTCCATTTTGATTTAGTCCATTATGTGCCCAAAACTAAAACATTGTCAATAATAACTCTTTTATCTCCATTGGCAATGGATATGATTTAGTCACAAAAGGAGTCAAAATTTGTAATTCTATTCTAGAATGTTTCGTGATGGTTATGAAATGTATAATAACATAGAAGTTTTAGAGGTGTTGCAATGTGGGAAATAGAACCTACTTTTCCTTTGTGTTTGCAGAACTGAAAGGATTAAATGGAAGTATGGAACATTAATTGTCTAGCAGAACTGACTGGATAGTACTGATTTTTCTGTGATGATTCGGTTAATTTTTGGAGATTGGAGTGTTTTCAAGAAGCCATGTCGTGCCCAGAGTTGATACACAATCACCATGAAATAGCACTTTGAGTCTAGATGTCCTTCATTTGTGTGACCTTCCTGGATGCGATTTTCTGTTGATAGAATTGTGGAGACAAGTTTTAAAATGTCTCCCACCTTGATTTTGATGCTAGCTTTCTGTTGCTCAGCAGTAATCATGAACTGGCAAGTGTCTTGCATATATATGTATGTCTATATATATATATGTATGTGTGTGTGTGTGTGTGTATCAGTTTTCTATTCAATCTCAAAGTAGCAAATAATGGATACGATTGCATTGTTCATATCTTTAGTTTGTCTCTAAGTTGACCGATGATGGTAAAGTGCTATTCATTTAAGTGCATTGTCTGATTCTCTGTTAGTTTGATACTCATATATATGAAAGGTGTTGGTAAGAATTCTCAAATATTCGTTTCACTAATTGTGACCTGGACTTGTCACTGATGTGAATGCAAACCAGGCATCATCAATCCCTGAAAAACTAACCTGATGATGATAAGATTCCTTTTCTTTACACACTGCTGTTTCTTGTGGTGCAGGGTTGCTGCTCCGCGGGTGCACAGCAATTTCACCAGCAAGGTTGGCTTCTTTGTTAAGGTACTAATTATTTTTTACAAGATTAGATATATTTGGCACACATGAATTTAGAAGTCTCAGATTGCGAGTTAAATGAGCGGTTTATCCTTTGCAGCAACAGGCGCAGTACAAGCTGAAGCCTATCACAAAGCAGAAGCTTCAGACATTAGATTCATTGTTTGCAAATATGCAGGAGCAAAGAATGAAGACCTTGAGCTTGTCTCAACAACACACCTATGCTGCAAGAAGAAATGGCAGTGACGGGAAGAGCATTGTGCCACCACCTTGGGCAAGAGGCTATTTCGAGAACTGATAATCTAATGCTTCCCTCACCCTGTCCACAATGGTGTTTGTAGGGACTACTTTTTAGCAGTAGGTTTTTGGATGCTTCTGTTACCCAAATTTTATTAGGTTTAGGTTAAAACTTCAATGCCAATCAGAATTATTATTTTTTGGTTGGAATGAATTGACCATCGCATATTTCTAAACCTTCGTCTAAAAGAATAAGGAAGCCATGTATGTTTTTCTAAGATTCTTCACTTTAATTATTTAAATTAAAAAAATGATGAAATCACCGAGAGCTTGTTTGTTGAGTTTTGGAGGATTGGTGTGATATGGGTATTGAAATAGGAAGAAAATGACGAGTTCTATAATTTTAAATAAAAATGTTTGGAGATGTCTTAAATAAAACAAAAACTCACTATTTGCTCTTAGGTGAGAAGTTTTTGAACCTAAAATATTGGAAAAGTGTCAAAATTGGGCAATAAAAGAAGATGAAGATCTGGAAGGATATGACGATGAAGATTAAAAAAATAAAAATAATAGAGTAATCCTCTGAGACCGAAGGAGGTGGGAGCTTTGGGATGGAGCCATGATGGCTACGTTGGACTTGGATAGGGGAACACCGACCTCCTACGCCTTGACCGTGATGCGTGTGATCGCCATCCCGGCTGTCAAGCGTGCCCCTCCCAAGTTAGTGGTTGAACGGCTAAATTTTTAATTTTTTTCTTTTCATTCTATTATTTAAACACCTTCATATCTTTCAAATACTCACACCTCTTCTCTACTTCTTCATAAAACTCTTCTCGTCGCCCATATCTTACATCCTTTTTTATTATTTCACATATGGATCCAATGTATTTGCAATTCCTAGAGTGGTAAAAATATTATGGAGGAAATTACCAACAAGTAACAGGTATGACCGACCTGATTCCTGTCATGGACAACGAGGTAGAGGACGTAACGGAAACACAACTTCCGAAAAAATCCAAGGGGAATGTTGTGCGCCGCGAAGGTACGACAATTAGGGCAGCCAAGAGACCCTGGACGCTTACGTAGGAGGAAGCCTTGGCCGAGCGTGGGTGAACATTTCTAATGACCCAATTAGAGGTTCATTTTTTCCCAAATGATTTTATTTACAAATTTTATATAGTTTTTAAATCCTTTTTCGTAATGATTTTTTCCTGCTTTTTTCTGCAATTAGGAACTTTTCAAAACACTGATGATTTTTGGGGTAGGTCCTGATGAACGTGGAGCCCTACTATCGTGTCAACACGATGTCTTCCAAATACTCTGACTTGAATGCAAAAGCCAACAAGTTCGGCATGAAGAAACACGAGAAACAACACTTGGATTCCCGCGACGACGACTGAGTCCTCCGCCGTTGCGCTGCCTCCCTCAATGGAAGGAAGAGAAGTAGCTATTCAACGAACCTCGATGCACGCAACTATGAGCAACATCACACTATTGTTGACCATGTACTGGATAAACTATATTCGTTACCCGGTCTGTCAACCACCACAATTGCTAATGGCTTGTTTACTGTCTGCCCAAAATTGCAGATCTACGGGCCGTCCTTGAATCGAGAAGAGTTCTGATAATTTTGGGTTAGGAAAAATAAAATAAAAATAATAAAATGAAAAAAGATTAAAAAACTACTCCCTCCATCCCAAAAAGTCTTTCCTGTTTACTATTACGGCCTCTCGATAACTCTAATTTGTTTGCGCGTTTTCATTGATCGTTTCACAAAATAAAATATTCTTGTCACCTCTTATCTTGTAGAGTTTCCGATGTAGTTTTTAAATATAATTTTTTTATGTCTTATTTCCTTACCAATTTGCAAATAAAATCATTTTAAAATCCACGGGGTTTTGCACGTTAATCAAAGTAGGAAATTCTTTTTAGGACGGAGGGAGTACTATTTATGAAAAAAAATAAAAAGGATGTAAAAATAAAAATTAAAATAAAACTATGCTAAAAAACTAAAAATTAAAATCTAAAAGTATTATAAATACCTAAAAAAAGAATAAAAAGAATTAACTCAAATCCGACTTATCAAGTTCAAAGGGAGCAACTAGCGTACCTTTGATGGCATTATGAGATAAAGGCGGAAAATAATTGGATTCGGAAGTACAACGAGGGGGTTAGGTTGGAGCGATCCTTATGGGGCCCTATCAGCCCACGAGGATAATTTGGCCACTTTATCCCTACTACCACTATCCTGGAACTCAGATCAGCTGCTTGACCCGAAGATCCCGAACTGAGGGAACGGGGTAGGAAAATAATTGTCAAGACCGGAGAAGAGCAAAGCCAAGGTACATGAAAACCCAGTTGCGAGTAAGTCCCGTGCCTCTCTCGTCTGGGACCCGATCCATCTGTATCGGTGTGGAGGTGACGGCTTGAGGTCGAGAGACTTTGTGTAATGGCCAAGGAAAGATTGGAGAGAAACGCGATGGTCATCCAGCTTTGCATCTGGGACACTCGGAGCACGGCCGGGTCCTCCAATGAGGTAGTATCCGGAGAGGAGATGATGATGCACAAAGTGCCCAGTGGGCACCGGGAGGCAGGCACCGCATCAAGGGTCGATAGGAAAATTCATCCATAATGTGGGATATTCACAAAATAATAGAGAAGTTATAGTTGAATGTGGATGCCCCTAAAGGTTGCAAGTTATTATGTGTACCACAGGACACAACTTTCTCACAAAGGGTCATGGCTTATCCATCCACTATGGGATTTAAGGTCTCTCCTATGAAAAGGTAAAACAATGAGACTGAACCGGAAGAACATTGAAGCTGTTATTATAAAAATATGAAGCCGGTAGGAGCTAAAGTTGACCTAATTTGCCGCTGCTTTTTGCAAATAGTGGATAACATGGTAACAAGTTGGCTGGATTCTGTTCACCCTTGGAGAAATGACAACAAGAGGGACTTAGCAGCCAAGTTCATAATGTATTTCTATGTGAGTTGCAAACCCATGAAATACTTCACCCACCTGGCTCGCGTCAGAAAGAGGAAAGGTGAGTCTTTGAGGAAATTCCTTGCTAGATGGAGGAAGGAGTCTGTGGAGGTAGAAGCGGATTATACGTCCTTCATAGCGATCTTTTTGGGCAAGTGTCCCAAGTTCCGTGTTTTAATAAATTAAGCTTCCGCACTGTTTCCATTTTTACTCCGATGATGGTGGATTTATTTAAAGGAACTGTTTGGATGTTTTAAATTGTTTTGAAAATATTGTGTGTTTGGATGCCAGATTAGTAGCAACTCGATTCGTTAACCCATGTATTCGAGTTATGCGGGTTGGGGTGTTACATTTTGGTATCGGAGCACATGGTTTTGAACTGATCTTTGGATCAAAGATAAATGTTTTCTAATAGCTATATCCACATCTCTCGCGACTCATTTGCCCCGGGAAGACAATAAGATTTCTCCTTGTATGAATTGTATGATACTGATTGGGAAAATTTGACTTCTTATTGAATGAGTCAATCTTTAACCCACGGACAGGGTAACACCCTACATATCGAAGATGAGCATGTTAGTGCCCACCCTGAGGGGTCTAGTTTCGCTCCTTGGCAAAATGCTAGGCAGCCACATGTCCCCTAAAATGAGGGAAACAACCAAAATGTCGAAGGTCAGCCATATCCCGTGTTGTCGGCCTTTATGATGTATTTCTTGCAGCACATGGAGCTGGTGCAGATAGTCCCGCCGCCAACACGGCCTGCATGACAAATCACCCTGAATATGTTGAAGGATAATGGCACTCAAGAGTTTTTCTGTGACTAGATTATTGAGCTAGAGATTGTCTTTTATTTGTTGGACCAGAGCATAAGAGTGCTAAAGGATCTGAAGGTTCTAGAGGATGACTGTCCTGATCTAGCTGTCTAGTTGCTCTGAAAAGATCATACGAATGGTGGAAACGAGCAAGTGAGCATGCTCTTGAGCCCTTGACATGGACATACTTTGATAGCTCCTTCAGAAAGAGTACATTTTGCCTTGATTTCAAGAGGGGAAACAAGCTGATTTTGTGGGTTTGAGGCAGGGGGACATGACACTCCCTGAATTTAGACAAAGATTCGACCATCTGGCTCAGTTCGTTGGAACATTGGTGGGTACCATAGCGGATCACATTGAAGAGTTCACTACCAAACTCTAGCCAAACATCAAGCCCTATGTGTCAGTTGTGTCGACGACGGACTTCAGAGCCGCTTATAATCAGATCAAGAAAGGTGAGTAGGGATTAATTGCCTAGAATAAGAGTTTAGCTGAGTCTGTGGAACCTAGCACTCAGAGCAAAGGAGTAGCCTCTCCGGGTGGCAAACAAACCTTGGGTGGAGGCCACAGCACCCAAGGCTCCAAGAAGACCATGTCGCCTCTAGTGCAGTCCGGTGCATCGAGCAATAAGCCGCATCAGTCAAGGCACCCTATGTGTAATCAATGTGGGAAGTGTTAGTTCACTCACACTAGGCAAACACTTCATCAGACTTTTTTTGGTAGTCGGATACAATTGCTTTAAGTAGTTTTTGAAGCAGTAGTGTGATAGACTCACAGACTTCTGTGCAGAAAGGCTAGTGTGAAATTGAAACATATAACTATATCAAGGTATTTTACACTACTAATACATAATGTTGTGCTCGCATTTATGACTTGTATTTGGGGGACTTATAAATGACTACGTTGCTTTTGTAATCTAATCGTAATGTAGGCAATTGCCGTTTTTGTGCTTTAGACAACTGTGCTTAGGTGTTGTGTCTTTACGTTTCAGACTACACGTTTAAAACGCAGTTAAACAGTATGTTGTACTACCCCTCCGAAGACTACCAAACAATTAAATTTGAGAATGGTTAGATTCAGTTGTGTAGAGAGCATTACGACCGCGGTTTACCTCAATTGTCTTTGTATGTCGCAGACTACCCATTCGAAGAGTAGTCACATCGCTTATCAAACGACTCCTCTGAAAAGAACAAAAAGTTGGATGAGACAATTGTCTTCTGATGTTGTCCTTTTTAATTTCAAACAACTTTTTTTTCCAGTTGTCTGCATATTAGTAAAATTATGCTTTTTAGTAGCAATCAGATATTATATTGGACTATTCTTGAGAAATGTAGTGAGATTGAGTTTCACACAACTATTTTGAAGTGTTAACTAAGTCTTGGTCATAAGGATGAAAGACTTAGGGCACTGCGGTAGGATCAATAAATAAAATCAGATCATCAAACAAGAGTTGTAACTTGTTACAATTGGAACTTATTCCTAACGGAATTAATTTGAATGTAGGGCAAGATGCAAAGCACAACTATAGTTAAATGAAATATGGATATGGCCCAATTAAGAATTTTATTTAAAAGAATTCACCGAACCAAGAGTTGTAATAATGATTGCAATTGGAATGAATTCCTACCTAAATAACTTGACTGTAGGGTAAGATGCAAAGCACAACTATAGTTAAGTAAAATATGGATCTTGGCCCGCTAGGGTGTTCTTCTCACAAAGAGAACGCAAGTCAATACGTTTCGTACCTGAGGATAATTGACTTGTTATAAATAGTGGGAGAGTATTTAATGAATACCTATTAGATAATTAAAGGGAGCAAGGAAGGAAACCGTCACAAATTGTTACGAGGAGCAAGGCTAAAATCCTTGAGCAAGGAAGGAAAATTAATCCGATAGGCTGGGTCGAAGAAGAAGACTTGTTAGATCCCCAAGAATCACATGAGGACGAGGTTATCCATTTCTTCAAACGTTGTTGTCCTAACAAGATAGAAGATCCTAAACCCCTTAGCAAACCTCTAACCAAAACTCAAAAAAAGAAAATGAAGAAGAAAAAGAAGCAAACTCAATTCACTGACTATGGTTACGACGAAGAGATTGAATATGCTTTTTGATAGACCTGCAGTTATAATTATTTTTCTAACCCCTCTTTTGAGTTTTGTTTGTTCCTTAGTTACTTCATTCTGGTTTCCAAGTCTATGATTTGGAGTTGAGCTTATCCGTTTCAGAGCATGGGTTTTACATCTCTTAACAATGCCATTACCTTTGGATAATTCCTGGTGGGATTCACAGCTGTGTTGGGGTCTACCACAATGCTGTGACATTATGCACATGATGATGGAGGCTGTTTTAAGGGAGAGGGACCTGCATTAGAATTTTGTGTAGTACCTATTGGTATTTACTTTGGATGGTCCATATATCTCCTTCTTTTGGATCTTTACTTTCTGTCTTTTTCTTTATGAATGTATCTCTCTGTTTCGGCCTTTGTGTAGGGGCCGGCCACCCTTCTGCAGCTGTACTCTTTTTCCTCTTTTTAATAATACATATATATTTATATATATAAAAAATAATAATTCATGATAATAACTATCTTCGCAAAATTCTGTAGATGGAAAACAACAACACAAACAACCTATCCCCGCGTTCCATTCTAGAAAAGGAAAAATTGAACGGAACAAACTTTGTTGACTGGAAATGCAATCTCTCCATTGCTCTACACATGGATGAGAAAGAGTATGTGCTCGAAAAGCCCATTCCTCCTGCCCCTCCCGCTAATGCCCCGAAAGTGGTTAAAGATGCTAATGAGAAACAAGTTAAGGATGAAAACCAAGTTAGTTGTGTGATGCTGGCAACCATGACAGCCGAGCTGCAAAAACAGCATGACTACATGAAGGCCCACGACATGACCGTGGCCTTGCGGCAACTATAGCGAGGGTAATCTAGACATGAACATTTTCTTGTGAGTAAGGCTCTCTTTAGTTGCAACCTCTCTTCAGGGAACCCAGTCGGTCCAGATGTTCTCAAAATGATTGGTTACATAACCAATATGGAGAAACTCGGGTTCACCTTGCAAAAGGAGCTGGCAACAGACCTGATCCTACAGTCGCTCTCTAAGCTGTACAAGGGTTTCGTCATGAACTACATGGTGCACGATCTTGACAAACCCCTTTTGGAGCTTCTTAAGATGCTCCAACCTGCAGAGGAGAATCTTACTAAGGGCAAGGATGCTTCCGTCCTTATGGTCCAAGTCGGAAAGGAGAAACCGAAGAAGGGGATCAAGATTAAGGTTGGGACCATCGGAAAGCCTAAATCAAAGTCCACTTCATTTGCAACCCAGAAACCCGTAGGAGGATTGCAAAGGGCAAATGTCATTATTGTGGTAAGGCAGGCTACTGGAGGAGAAACTGCAAGACATACCTCACAACCAAGAAGAAGGAAGGTACGACCATTTCTTCTGAGACGTATGTTATAGAAGTTAACATGTCTATATCTTCATCATGGGTACTAGATACTGGATGTGGGTCTCATATCTGTACTACCATGCAGGGACTGAAGTAAAGTAGACAGTTAGCTCGAGGCGAGATTGAACTCCGAGTCGGCAATGGTGCACCTGTTGCAGCTTTGGCAATCGGAACTTATAGTTTAGCCTTGCCTAGTGGTCTTATGTTGTAATTAAACGATTGCTTGTACGTTCCTGCCATTAGAAGAAACATTATTTTTATTTCATGTCTTGATAAAAGTGGTTTCATTATTTCTATTAAAGACAAGTCCCTTTCCGTTTACAGAAATAATGTTTTCTATGCTAATGCCAACATGACCAATGGGTTATATGTCCTTGACTTGGACATACCTATCTATACCATATCAGCCAAGGGGAACAAACCCAATGGTTTGAACCAAACATACCTATGGCATTGTAGGTTAGGCCATATAAACAAGAAACGCATATACAAGCTACATCGTTCGGGAATGCTGGAGTCATTTGATCTTGAATCATATGGCACATGCGAGTCTTGTTTAGTGGGTAAGATGACCAAGTCTCCTTTCACCGGACATGGTGAAAGAGCCGGTGATCTTCAGGCACTCATTCATAGTGATGTGTGCGGGCCTTTCAATACAACCGCACGAGGTGGTTATTCCTACTTCATCAAATTTACTGATGATCTTAGTAGATATGTCAATGTGTATCTCATGAAACACAAGTCAGAATCCTTTGAAATGTTTAAAGAATTGAGGAATGAAGTTGAAAAACAACTTGGCAAAAGTATTAAAACACTACGATCTGATCGAGGTGGAGAATACTTAAGTAACAAGTTTGATGACTATCTTAGAGAGCATGGGATTTTATCCCAACTCACACCTCCTGGACCTCCACAATGGAATGGTGTCTCTGAAAGGAGGAATCGAACCCTGCTTGAAATGGTTTATTCTATGATGGGTAATTCGACTCTACCAAAATCATTCTGGGGTATGCGTTGCGCAGTGCAATATATACTCTTAACCGAGTTCCAACCAAGGCAGTTGAAGGAACACCATACCAGCTATGGACGGGCAAATGCCCGGTTCTTTCACACCTAATGATTTGGGGCTTTGAGGCTTATGTTAAACGTCTTATGACAAATGGCAAGCTTGACGCCAAGTCTGATAAGTGTTTCTTCGTGGGATACCCCAATGAAACTCAAGGGTATTCCTTCTATCACCATATCGATAAGAAGGTACTTGTTGCTCGCAATGGTGTCTTCCTCGAGAAGGAATTTTTCTCCGATGCAACTAGTGGGAGAAATATAGAGCTCGAAGAAATTAGAGACGACAAAGAAACTACCGCACCGGTTCAGGAACATGAGCTAGAGGAACAAACCATTATACCTCAAAATGCTCAAGATACACAAGAGCCCCGTAGGTCTAACCGGTTACGCACACAACATGAAAGGTATGGATTGATCCTAACCTTTGAGGGTGACGTAATCCTGATCGACCAGGATGAGTCGAAGACCTACCTCGAGGCAATCAGTTGTCCTGAGGCTGAGGAATGGCGTCAAACCATGCAGTTCCATGTACCCAAACCAAGTATGGACTTTGGTTGATGTACCCGAAGGGATCAAACTCATTGGGTACAAATGGGTCTTCTAAAAGAAGACTTACACGGATGGTAAGGTACAAACCTACAAGGCACGATTGGTAGAAAAGGATATTGTCAAATACATGGTATCGACTATGACGAAACTTTTTCTCCAGTTGTCAGGATTAAAGTCATTCGGATCTTACTTGCTATCACAGCATACCACGATTATGAGATCTGGAATATGGACGTCAAAACGGCTTTCCTTAATGGAAACCTCCTTGAGGATGTCTTCATGACACAACCTGAAGGGTTTTGCGATCTTGAAGAATCTACCAAGGTATGCAAGTTGCAGAAATCAATCTACGGGTTGAAGTAAGCCTCCTGGAGTTGGAACATCCGCTTTCACAAAACCATCAGCGGCTTTGGTTTTGAAAGAAATTCGGATGAATCTTGTGTATACAAAAAGGTCAGTGGGAGTGCTGTAGTATTCTTTGCTCTGTATGTTGATGACATACTGCTCATAGGAAACGATATCCCTACTTTAACCACTGTGAAAATATGGTTGAGTAAGAGTTTCTCTATGAAGGACTTTGGAGATTGAAGTTATATATGCACTTGGCATAAGGATCTATAAGGATAGATCACGGAAGCTGTTAGGTGTCAGTCAAAGTATATACATAGACAAGGTCTTCGCTAGATTTAGCATGTCCGAATCGAAACGAGGAAGTTTGCCTATGGTCCAAGGTACGAGTCTTTCCAAGACTCAGTGTGCTTCCACTCCAGAGGAAGTAGAACGCATGAGAAATGCTCCTTATGCGTCGGCCATTAGATCCATCATGTATGCGATGGTATGTATGAGACCTGATGTCGCCTTTGCTCTGAGTGTCACGAGTAGATACCAGTCCAACCCCGGCGAAAGCCATTGGATGTCTATGAAGAACATCCTTAAGTACTTTCGTAGGACTAAGGATGCCTTACTGGTATATGGCGGGAAAGAAGAGCTCAGTATTGTCGGAATTATAGGAATTAAGGTGAAACAGGAGCAATATTTTTAAAACCTTTTTCAAATCGTTAAAAAAAATTCATAAAAAAAACTTCAAAAATATAACATATTAAATTTGGATCGATCCTTTTACAAAATGCCGGAGATAGCGGAAGACTTAAATAATACAAATACGATGATGTGGGTCAAGACCAAAACTTCAGATGCAATACTTGTGAAAATCATGCATGTCAACCTGCTATCCTATCATCTCTTTTGTCAATACGTGTAGACAAAAAGACTACACACTCAACATAAAAATGAGTGGTACGATAACGCGAGAGATCAATAACATATTTATATTTAAATACCATGCATCACATTGGCCACATAATTTTCATGTTTGCATAGTAGATAGCACAAGATACAAGATACACGTATACATATCAAGGAGATTCGTTTTGGAATGTTATCCAAATATAAATACCTTGGCCTTTTCGTCAATGATGTTGGATATGAAGTGCAACATGTTTTGCACAAATCCGAGTCGTCCATACTTATAAATATAATCAAGACGTTTGTTCATGATGATGGGTCAATATGAATGACATGAATCTCATAGTGATATTTTCACCGGTACTAATGTACGGAATACTACATACAAATTTGATAACTAGGATCTGCATAACTATTTACAAACGATGCAATGTCAAATGATTCATGATGCAAGAGTTAGACTGTGCAGGGACCCCCTGCCCTTCGGTGATCATCCCACGCGGTGATGAGCCGAGGAAACCTTAGTCTTTTGAAGGAGACTAAAAATTGTGGGTGGTAACTGAAAGCCTAGTTACCCTGTACGTACACAAGCCCTCCGAATGAAACCCGTTGGACCCCGAAGGCTCCAGGACGGGCGCACCGAAGAGGCGCACTAGGCCTCACCCCTTCAACGGTATGCCATGGTATGAGTGATTCCTATATCATTTGTCTACAACATGCGTGACTTGATGCCATGATATGAATGATAGCTATATCATGCTTGACTTATGACCTTGAAGGCTTTATTTTGAAAATGAAGTCTTGGTTTCTAATACATATACCAACATTTCAATTATTGATTCTTACCTTTAAAACACTTTGATTTTGAACCTTGCTCAAAGTTCAGCAGTACCTGATAATTGATTATCAAGTGTTGATAATTGATTGTCAAGATTCGGCAGCCCCTGATAGTTGATTATCACTTGGTGATAATCAATTATCAAAGTTCAGCAGCCCTTGATAATTGATTGTCACTTGTTGACAATCAATTATCAAAGTTCAGCAGCTCCTGATAGTTGACTATCAGAACTTCATAATCTATTACTCCCTCCGTCCTAAAACTTTCTTCCCAGAGTACTATTCCAACTTCACGGGAATTTATATTTATTTGTGATTTTTCATGGCCTATATGATAAAATAAAATATTCTTGTCACCACTTGTTTTGTTGAACTTTTGATGTAGTTTTTAAATATGTATGTTTTATTTTTTTATTTCTATACCAATATTTAAATAAAATAGATTGAAAAAACTTGGGATTTTTCTTCGTTTTGCGCAACGGGAAGAAAGATATAGGACGGAGGGAGTATCACAGTACTCGGATTCTACTTTGGTATTTCAAATTACGTTCGCCCTTTTGAAAATTATAATGGGCATTTAAAAATTTACAAATGTATCTACATATGTAGTGCCTATTCATTCCAACGGATTTGTACGAGTTTCATACCATATATCTTTATAACAAGAAAAGTACGATCATACGGATTCAACATAGATTATCACAAGAAGTTGAGCATATAAAATAACAAAAACGCATTCGTTCATACATGTAAAGCATATATATTTGGGCATGGACTTATGTGTCCGTGTAATCGTCTAAATGTATTCTAGGTGTTTCCCTACTTGTTCATTCACATGTCAAATTTATACACCTAAACATATCAAGTGATGCTATTATGATATCCAATGGTATTTCCTGAAGCATAACCATATTCTTCATAACCTAATAATTCTACTACTTTTATTTCAAAATTCATATTGTTTATGATTGAGTCAAACATCCATTTAGCCTTTTTATAATCATTCAATCTCATAACGTTTTCTAATCCTCGTTTTTCTCTACGAAACTTTAATAGATCAAGAACACAACATGGTATAAATCTATATACAAATAACCATATAAAAAACAAACGTATTTTTGTTTACCTGTGTATAGCAAATAAAACATACTACACACTCAACGGTTAAGCTGAGTAAGCATATCTAATGCGTCGAACATCCATATAAATTGAATCTCAATTCATAATCAACCATTTGATATCATGCACACAATATAAAATTCAAGCATTCATTATTCATGATATTCACTATATTTTAAATCAAGTCATTATATGCAATAATCAATATTAAATATATCAATAGTGCTCTTAAATTATTCTTAATATAAGGCCAAATCATTTTTATAACAAGCTCTTAGCTATTTCTAGTCCAAGGCAATATTTCTGTAACGCCACAAAATATGGCCTAAAATTTATTATAAAACAAAAGTAAATTCTGTCCAATAAGGAATATTTATACGTTTGACCAAAAATAAATGAACTTTCAAAATAATTACTTTTTGTTAAAAAAGTTATTTTTATGGATATGTCTCGAAGAGATGAATCCAACGGTACATTTTATGAACCCATCTGATTTATAGATTTGTAGGATACTACTAAAATTTATAATTTTAAACATTGAAACTGGGTATTTTATTTGTGTTAAATTTCCTCTAAAGTATTTTAATCTTTAGTATTAAAACTGGGAACTGTTGTGGTATAAATAGTAAAGGATTTAATTCATATATTTTTATCTCATTCATATTACTCCGTATTAAATTAATTTATAACTGAGACAGACTCGAACATTGAGAAAATAAAAGTTCTCAGAAAAATATTTTGATTACGTCAAAATTCTAGTTTTGACTATCTCATTCCAAAAACACAATCCGTTTTCAATTCGGAGCAGTTTGGACGAAAAAGCGCGTACCGTTTAAAGTAAATTGTTCAGTTTTGGCTAAAAGCCAAAACTTAATTCTCAAATCTCTTCCAAATCTCCGTAGCCTCCCTCTTGTTTCAACCATACACCTAAGAAACCCACTACACCACAACAATCCAAGCTATTCCATATAATGACTCCACCACCATCATAATTATCATCAACATCATCATCATTCTACACCATCCAACATCACCGATCATCTCTCCTCCTCACCATCTCTCTCGTATAAAACAACAAGGGAGAAGAAAAGGAAGCTTAAACTCCATAGTTGGTTCAAGGAAGAAGAAGAAGCAAGAAGAAAAATCATAAAGTCTCAAAATCCTGAAACCAAAACACATCAGTCTACTTTCAGGTAAAAACTGAAATTTTCCATCCATTATCTCGAAATACTTTCTGAGCCAAAGTTGTAGCCCCGGACGATACGAATCCAGCCCAACAAACGGCTTGCGATTTCGTTAAGTAACGAAGAAGATATGGCCAAAATACCAGGATTGCGCCAGTGGTGGCGAGCTCCTCGGGTTGAACCATGTTTCTTCACCATATTCATGTTTTTCCATTCCAAATACTCATCATAAACTCTCTAACAATTATTAGGAACATCTGGAAGATATCGTAGAGAAGGTTCGGTGTTGGAATATTGAAGTTAATGAGTTAATCGTCGGAATCGTATAAATGGACATATTCAAAATTCTGGACTGCAACTTTCCCTTGCCTTCAGGTCCGATTTACGCTATCTTACATCTGTTAACTCGAAATACTTTCTATACGAAAGTTATAGCCTTACATCTTAGGAATCCGTAGAATTAAACGATTTGCGATTCCGTGAAGAAACGATGGAGATATGCCCAAAATACCGCAGGCTGTCCAATTATGACGAGATTGACAAAGTTGGTGAATTTCGATGTTGTTTCCACTCTCGTTCATTCGTAAGGTTTCGACCGATGATTTCCAGGTCTGTACCCTTGCGTTAGACTTTTCGAATCATAAATCACATACATACATGAACATATATGTTATTCCATATGTTAAAACCATTCCAAAATATATATGTGATGCATATATAAGTTATCTATATGTTGAGATCAAAATACACCAAATCCATAAAGTTAATATACACATAAGTAAATATAAACTTTGGAAATCAATCCAACAATATGTATATGTTAATCAAAGGTGCTTAAAAGACTTAAAGAAGTATTTTGGACACTCAAAATATCAAGAGAAAGATTCGTAGACCCAAAGGGTCGACGCAAACGGTCGACCGTCGCGTTAAACATCGAAATGGACCCCGACTGTCAGACAAACGGTCGATCGCCGGTGGCCAATGGTCGACCGTCGCCTGTCTAGCCAAGTGCCGCCGTCCACCTCCAGTCAACAACAGTCGACCGTCGGTCAACCGCGGTCGACCGTCACGGTGATCCGCCAATCCAACCTGATGAAGACCAAGGTCGACCGTCGCGCCAAACGGTCGACCGTTCCGAGCCCCGTAGCTTAATTAAATGATATTTTAATCATGTTTCATCCAAATAAACTAATGCATGATTATATATTCATATTGTTTACAAATTGTTCATGTCATATCATTCATTTCATCACACATATTGTAGCATATCATATCATATGCATGCGTAAGAGATCATGCGTAATTGCGTCTCTTATAGCGTGATGTGCGGGACTTACTAGTCCGACATCACCCGTTC